CGGCTCTCGGAGTGACGACCCATCGAGTCCCCTGCCCAGCACAGGGACGCGGAGGCCCCATGGGGGATGCTTGACGAGCCGGCACGTTGGGCTGGGGCCAAGTTCATTCTGTTCATTCATAAAACACTCGTGTGTGCCTCCCATGAGCTGGCCTGTGCTAGGGGCCGGGGGCGGGGGCTGTAAGCAGAGCCCCAGCCCAGTGTGCACACCGGGAGGAGCAGACCTCACGGAGGGGCGGCTGGGCTGGCGTCCTCTGGAGAAGGATGAGGTGCGGTGCCGTCTGCTGGGGGCTTCTTGGAGGCCGGGAGCTTGAGTTTCTATGCAGGAGGCGCCAGTCATGCTGGGAAGGCTGTTTCCTGGCCGGGTGGGGGCTGCAGACGTGTCCGTGAACCCCAGGCAGCCCGCCGGTGGGGAGCGCACAGCCAGGACCTGGAGCCCCATGGTTCCCTCCGGGGAGGGGCTGCAGTTTCACCACTCGTCCCGGTGCGTGCGTCCCCCCACGGCAGGGACCCTCCTGTCACCCTTCTCTCCACACCACCCCCGTCCCGGGCCCCCAGCAGCGTGTCCTCCATGCCCTCCGTCGTGCACTGTGCTTTCCTGCGTGGCAGAGGCCCCTGGGCCCCAGCCGGCTGTCGCTTGTGTCCACGGGGCTCCTTTTCGGGGCTGAGCAGCGCCCTGAAGTACAGCTGGGCCATTGCTGTGACCATCTGCCTGGACTGAAGGACCTCTGGGCCGATGCCACATCTCGGGCTCTGGGAACGCTGCTCTGACGGTCACCCGTGTGCTGGCGTGGGTGTCAGTGTTGGCCCAGCACGCAGTTCGGGAGCTCGTGGGTCCGGGGCCGCTGTGCCGGCGGGGCCGGGGGCCATGCGCATGGTGAAGCTCGGTCTTGGGAGCATCCCGTACCTCGGCTTGAGGGGACCTTGCTTTCCTCCTTGCTGGGTAGCCGTCGAGGGCTCTGAGCCAGAAGGGCACGTGGGACCAGGTCTCTGCGGGGGAGTGTGACCGAGGGTCAGGCAGGTTGAGTTGGAGGCTGGAGGTGGAGGGCCAGGGCCCCACGTGTGTCTGTAGGAGAGAGCCCCGAGGGAGGCGAGGAGGGCAGGGGTGGCCGGGACCCAGGGGCCGGGTGAGTGGCTGCTTGCCGGGGGGCCCAGCCATAAGGTCCAGGCAGGCCTTGTCCCTGAGACCCTTCTGGGCAGGTGGACACTGGGTCACGTGTGTGGCGGTTCCCGGGGCCAGGGACCTGTCACAGGCCTGAGTCCCAGCTCCCAGATGACTGATATGGCTGTGGTTCAGCTGTCCCGGGAAGCAGGGCATCTGGAAAACTAACCTGGGTTGCTCTGGCCGACTCAGACTTGCGCTGAGCTCAGTCTCCCTGTCTCCATCCCTCCCTCCATCCCTCCCTCCCTCCCAGATGCTGCGATGGCCCAGCGCCTCATGGGCAGCAGGCCTGGCCTATGGCAGGGTGGAGGGCCCCCTTTCCCACCACGCCACTGCACCTGGCCTTGACGTCGGCCCGGAGCATATCCGACGTGAGACGTGCTTCTCTCCTCCCAGGGTGGCACCTCCCTGCCTCCGCCACCTCCACACCCTCCCTTCTCTGTCCTTCCCGGCAAAGTGGTGGCTGCCCCGGGCGGGGTCACTGATCAGACCCAGACAGGGTGCCCGGTGTGCCCGCTGGCTTCCTCCTTCCCCTCCCGCTTGATCGACATTGGGTTGACATGAGTGTCCTGCGAGGTCATGGGGTGTGACCCGCTGATTTGATACGTGGCGGTACCGTGGGATGATGGGCTCCCTTAGGTCAGGCAGCACACCCGTCGCCTCCCATGGCTGCGCCGTGTGTCTGCGTTTCGGTTCTTCCACAGGCCCGCCGTGGCGGTGGTCTTTGCTGTGGCTACTGTGCTGCGTGGGGGCCTTTGCAGACCAGACGCCGGGTGACCTCGGCCATGCCCCTTGTCCAGGCCCCCCTGACATCTCCAGGGGCTGACCCCGCATTTCAGGCTTCAGTTTTAGGGGAGTGCCCCAGACGCCTGTTTTCCTTTGACCCGCTCTCTGGCCCGGCCGGGGGCCACTTCACAGACGTGCCTCCCACACCTTCCATCGCCTCCTGGGGCCCAGGGCAGGCGTCACCCTGACTGACGCCGCAGCGTGCGCGTGTGTGACCCCTTCGCGGGCGCGCCCTGCCCCTGGAGCGCTCCAGCGGGGGCTGCTTCTCTCCCTAAGGTTTATTTTTCCGAGAGAGCAGCTCACACACGTGAGGGTGGGGGGCAGACGGAGAGACAGAAGCCCACGCTGACTCCGCCCCGAGCGCAGAGCCTGATGCGGGGCTTGATCTTCGACCTTGAGATCACGACCTGAGCCGAAACGGAGAGTTGAGCTTAACCAGTGGTGCCTCCCAGTTCCTTTTTGAAAAGCGGGGGTGAGGCCAGTCCCTTTCTCACCAGGCAAGCTCACAGACCCTCTTCGGTGGGTCTTCCCCACCCCCAGGGCGAGAGCCGTGGCCTGCGTTTCCCAGGGGCGAGTGGCCTCCGCCTGGGACCTGCCCCGTCTCCCCCTCGGGCTGACCGGTGGGCTGCGTCTCGGGGTTTGGCTTGCATGTGTGCATCTGTTCGGCCGTTGTCTGCGAGGGACGCGGCCTGACGGACCAGCGGGGTGGTTTCCTTTCTGTAACAGAGTTTTGTCGAAAACGGGTTCGAACCCTCAGCCATCCTGCCTCGCAGAGGACCCTGGACGGTATCTGGGGACGTCTGTGTTTGGCACACCAGTGGTGCGTCTGGCATCCTGGGCTGGGGACACTGCTCAGCCCCCCACAGTACCCGGGACGTTCCGCCCCACCCCCAGAAGAATGACTGTGCCTGGTGTCAGCAGCGCCAAGAGGGACAGACCCAGGGGCACAGACCTGGGTCAGGAGGAAACTGCATTGGAAATTGCATTCCTGGCGTCCCCACAGCGTGGGTCCCTCTGGGGATACGTGGGGTCTTGCACACGCCCCTTCCACTTTCTCCTGTCCCTGGAACTCTCAGGGGTGTCGGTCAGAGTGAGCAGGTGGCCTGTGTCCCCTGGAGAGCAGAGGTGAGTTGTCTGACGTAGGACGGACGGGGGATGGCATGAAGGCAGCCACCTTCCTTGATGATGGACCCGCAGTCATCGTCCTTATCCCGGGAAGGCCCCAAGGCAGTTGGTGAAAGTACCAGAGAGGTGCGGGCGCGGCAGCCCAGGCCCCTGGGGCTCAGGTCTCCCCGAGTGTGGTCGGTCCCTCAGGTGAGGGCTGAGTGCTTCCCAGCTGCGGGACGGGGGGGACACGTGGGGCCCACAGAACTGGTCTGTCCCAGAGGCCGTGGCCTGTTGAGCAGGCCAGCGGCAGACGCCTGCAGACGGGCTTCCCCCTCGGGCCATGGTCATAACTCCAGGGGCCTGGGAGGGCTGCCTGCCCGCGGGGCGCAGGGGCCTTCCGGAGTGCAGGCCACGTCACGGGTGTGGGAGCCGGTGGCGGCCGCACGGGGATCCCGCTTGCCCCGCGTGGGCATGGGCAGCCACGGGGCTGATGGGGGCAGAGGGGTGGAAGGAAGCCCAGGCAACAGGTGGGGTGAGGTGGGAGCTTCTGAGCCTGTGAGCAAGGGGGTCCGGGCGGCCGTCGGAGGCCACGTGCACTTGGACGTTGGACATTGTCTCCCGCTCTGCCGTCACGTCGCTCCCCAGCTTGGCCTCCAGCGATGGACAGTCTCCGAGGGTCCAGGGTCTGGGCCACCCGGGCTCTGGGTCCCTCACGAGGTTGGAGTAGCCATGGCCCCTGTCCCCAGTGCTGCTCCAGTCCTCACAGCCTGGCGGCTGCCCTTTCCCATCCCCCTCTGCCCGTGGTGCCGGACAGCGTGGCGCAAGCCGCCGTACCTCTTGTGACCCAGTCTCGGAAGCGACACCCTGTCGTCTGTCCCGCTCTGCCAGCTGGAAGAAAGTCGTGGAGTCCAGCCCGCCCTCCTGCAGGGGGTCCGTCTCCACCCCCTGAGGGGGCGGGGCCCAGGTGTGTGGCTTGGAGGACCCTGTGCCGCTTGGCCCCTGGACCAGGGTGGGGAGAGGCTGCCGCAGGAGGGGCCGCTGGGCCACATCCTGCGGGAGCGGGAGTGGAGCAGAGCGCACGGCTCAAGGCGCCGGCGGGGCTGGGGTGAGGGCACATGGCCGGGTGGCCACTTTCCGGGTGGCCACTTTCCAGGTGGCCTTCCCGCCTGTCGGCAGATCCTCCGACCCCTCGAGGCTGAGGTGGGGGTCAGCGTGCAGCTTGGAAGAGCCCGGTGAGCCCCGCACCCCTCACGCCTGCAGAGGGAGGGGGTCCGACACCGTGTGCACCTGGCGGGCGGGAGGGAGCAGACACTGGGCTCCGTGCGTGGGCTGCGGGCCTAGGACTCGTCCGGGTGGGTGGGTCTGTGGGGTCTCAGCTAACGGGGAGGGACAGATTCTGTCCTCAGACCGCCCTGGCTTCTGTGCAGACACTAAACTCTTGCCCCACAGTGAAGGTGACCCTCAGGCCCGGATGAGGAGTGTGGTTGGGGTCCATGGGGACGTTGTCAGACTGGACGTGCCGTCCACTATGGGTGTGGGCAGGTCCTGCGGGGCCCGTCGGCCTGACTGGTCGAGGAGGCCGCGGCGCCTGGCAGAGACGCACGGCCGTGCCTCACGGCGGCCTCTGGGGCGCTGAGTGCGTGTGGAGGCCCTTCGTGTGCCGTGTGACTGGGCCGGACGCCTGAGGTATCTGCCTGCTCCGCACCTCGGTGCTGGGGGCCCTGTGGACACCCCCACCCACGCTGGGCCTCTTTCCCGCTGGGTCAAAGGGCCGTACGCTTCGGGGTGTGACCAGGCTGCTGTAGGGACGCCCCGCGCCAAGCGGCCGCCGCTAGCCAAGGGTGCCCCGCGGCCCCCTGAGCGCCGAGTCCCCGGGCTCCGACTGCCGGCGACCCCGCTCCACGAGGGGGAGGCCCAGCCCGGCGCTCACTCGGCCTTGTCCGCAGGCACCGGCGAGAGCGGGAAGAGCACGTTCATCAAGCAGATGCGCATCATCCACGGGGCGGGCTACTCGGAGGAGGACAAGCGGGGCTTCACCAAGCTCGTGTACCAGAACATCTTCACGGCCATGCAGGCCATGATCCGCGCCATGGAGACCCTGAAGATCCTCTACAAGTTCGAGCAGAACAAGGTGAGGCTGGGGCCGCCCTGCACCCGCCCGCCCGCCCGCACCTGCCTTCCCCACCGCGCCTCGGCGCCCCGGCCGGCGGCCCTCGGCGCCGGGTCTGCCCTGCGTGCCCCCGGCGGGCGGGGCCTCTCCCTGTTTCCGGAGTAACGGCTGCTCGAGACCAGAGTCACTCACGGGGCGGGTCTCCCCGTAGTGTGCGGTTCCTGGCTTTCTGACACACACAGCTGTGCAGCCGTTGCCTCTGTCTGGTTCCAGAACATTCCATCACCGCCAGGCACCCCGGTCCCCGTCATCTGTCAGAGCCCCTCCCCCAGCCCCCGGCCCCCATGAGCCCCTTCCCGTCCGTGGAGGGGCCTGGTCAGGGCATGTCACACGCGTGGACTCACACCCCACGTGGCCTCCTGCGGCTGGTCCCCTCCCTGCGTGTCGTGGGCTCAGGGTCCGTCCCGGGGCTGTGCGGGGGCCTCGCTGTTGCCCCGGCCGTCCTCGCACGGCTGTCGGTCCGGCGCCCGAGGGCTGCGTCACGCTCCGTGGGCAGGTGCACGCGCTGTGCAAATCCCCTCGCCCATGGTCAGGCACCCGGGTTTCCACGTTTGGCTCCTTGGAAGCTGCCGCGGTGACGTTCACGTGCAGGCGTCTGTGTGCACCCCTGTCGTCACTGCCCCGGCCGTGTCCCGGGAGACGGGCACTCGGGGGGCAGCGGGGGGGTCTGCCCTCGCGAGGAGCTGCCGGCCCCTCCGGGCAGCATGTCCCAGCCGTGCGGTGGTGGGCTCTCGCCGGTGGCCCCTCTGGGCTTGGCTTTTGTAGGTCTGATTTTGGGGGTTTTTTCAGCCCTGGAGGTTTGCCCTGGGCTGACGTGAGGCGCGGGAGTCCATACTTACACGGGGCACCTTCAGTGAATCCGTTCGCTCTCAGGCTTAAGAAGGGCCGTCAGCCGGGCCGCGGCTACGTTTCCACTTGGCACCTTCCTCCCTCTGTCCCCGGTTCACAGATGACCAGGGACCCCCAGCGGGGCCCGGTGTTGGGTTGGGCGGCCCTCTGGGGCGGGGCTTGGGTAGCGTGCTCAGCTGAGGTCCGCTGCAGCGTCCAACCGCAGGCCGGTGTTTGGACCGTCCGTGTCCCTCCGTGTCTAGCAGCGGCTGCCCACCGCACCCTCTTTTAGTACATACGGTTTTGTTGCTGCACACGACGCCTGCTCCTTGATGTGTCGTCCTTGATGCCTTTGGGTACAGGGACAGAGATGGGGCCACAAAGCCGAAGGCACCGTCCTCTGGGATGTTTGAGGCTGTCACACGTCGACAGCCGGGGGTGTTTTCCGGGGCCGGCGTCAGCCTTCGCAGGTCCAGGCTATGGGGCAGGTGAGGGCTGAGGCCACGGCTGCGGGGCACCGGTGCGGGGCATCTCTCCTGGCTTTCAGAGCGCGGGCTAGGTCTCCCTCACTCCCCATCTCGGCTTCTGCCCAGGTGTGTCTTCCCCAGACCCTCCGCTGCGGCCGGCTCTGTGGGCTGGGTCGCCCTGTCCCAACAGGCACGTGGACAAGCGGGTTCTCCCGAGTCTCGAGCCCCAGAGGTTCCCTGGCCAGCACCCTGCCCCCGCCCCTGCTCCCTTCAGAGGCTGCTGGGGTTTGAGGAGCCGTGTGCGGGGTAGGGTGCAGGCCTGACAGACGTCGGAGGTGATCCCGTCGCCTCACCTGTGAAACGGGGATGGGGCTGCTGCGGGGGTTGGGTTCGTTGCTCTCTGTCTGTTCTTTTGGGTCTGACCCTCAGTCACTTTTCGCAGAGTCTGCTTCTTCATCTACGTGGTTCCTCCCATGCCGTCTGCTGCCCCCACACTGGGGCACACGTGTGGGGCACACAGCCACGCGGCCTGGTGCCAGGAGCCACCTCACTCCCGGGCTCTGGCACGGGGACCTCCTACTGAGGGACAGCCCCTGCGGCTCCCCCTTGCTCGAGCGTGCCCACATGTGTCCGTGCTTCTCTGGGGCGGAGGGCCCCGCTTGGTCAGGCGCCCCGGGGGGCCTGGGCGCCGGCAAGCCCATGGCTCTCCCTCCTGCCCCACAGGCCAACGCGCTCTTGATCCGCGAGGTGGACGTGGAGAAGGTGACGACGTTCGAGAACCGCTATGTGCACGCCATCAAGACCCTGTGGGACGACCCTGGCATCCAGGAGTGCTATGACCGCAGGCGGGAATACCAGCTCTCCGACTCCGCCAAGTAGTGAGTAGGCCGCGGGGGGCTCTCGGGGACACTGCTCAGGGCCAGAGGGCCAGGCAGGCTTCACGGCATCGTGGGCCCCTCCCTGAGCCCACGCAGGTGCCGGAGCAGGGACATTCATCTGGAGAAGCGAGGCTGCAGCCCGGCCGCCCGGCCAGTCCCCTTTCTCCCGCCGCTGCGGCTGTCCTCAGGAAGCCCCGTGGGGTTCCCCCAGAGCCAGCCTGACTTCTGTCCCATGAGAGCCGGGGCGGGGTGGGGAGGCCTCTGTCGGGCCCCAGGTCCGCCTTGTCCCGAGGGCACGGGACTGTTCCGCCCCTGCTGGTGAGGGTCAGCGCTGGGCCCCTTCCTGCTGCTCAGGGACCATGGTGGCCGGGCTGTCCCCCCCCGCCCCAACCCCCTGCCTTGCCTGCCAGCCCGCGCAACCCGGTGCCTTCTGTGTCGCAGCTACCTGGCCGACGTGGACCGCATTGCCACCTCGGGCTACCTGCCCACCCAGCAAGACGTGCTTCGGGTCCGTGTGCCCACCACTGGCATCATCGAGTACCCTTTCGACCTGGAGAACATCATCTTCAGGTATCTGCGGCCTGGCGGCCATGCGCTGGTGGGGGGCCGTGCGCAGGGGGGCCGTGCGCCGGGGCTGCTGTGGGTGCCGTGAGCTATGGTGGGGGCTGTTCGCACCTGCAGTGGGGACCACGACAGGTTCGCCGGGTCTCAGTCTTTGCTTTCGGGGAGCTTCCGAACCAGGACGGGAGATAGACTCGTGAATGTCACCAGGTTTTTGGAGTGAGCCATGTCCTGGAAGCAGTAAGGGCCGTGGCGGTGCTGGCCAGAGCCGGCCTGGAGGGGAGGGCCTTTTGGGGGGCCTCTGTGACGGGCCTGTGGATGGGGCAGGGTGCCGGTGTGTGTTGGTGGGGCAGGGGGTCTGGAGTTGGGCCGGAGATGTGGGTGCCACAGGTGGTGGAGGGGGCCTGGGGACCCGTGCAGAGCCAGGTGATGGGCGGTTCCCGGACTCCGGCTCCTGGGCCCATGGGGGTTCCTGGCATATGGGCAGAATGGGGCCCAGTCCTGGCAGGGGGTGTGGCCTGAGTAGACTCGGGGCCATCCTCGAGGACACGAGCCCCGCCATGCAGTGAGGCCACGGAGCTGCTGGGCGGTGAGGGCGAGCGCATGTCGCCTGGGGCCGCCACCGCTGATGACCACAGATGGGCGTTTTGAAGCCACAGGCATTTCTGTGGTCCCAGCGTCAGAAGCCGAGGATCAGGGCATGGGCGGGGCCAGTTGCTTCTGAGGCGGTGAGGGGACGTCTCCCAGCTCCCTGTGCCTCCCGGCTCCCCGGGGTCGTCAGCCATCCTCCACGTCCCTTGCCCCATCCCTGCCCCCGCGGTCACACGGCCTGTCCTTGTGTGTCCGTGTCCGGGATTCCCTCTGATGATTGCATGGGGCCACCCCACTCTAACATGGTGTCATTTAACTGATGACATCTGCAGGGACTCGGCTCCCAAGTCAGTCCCGGCCCCGGGTTTTGGGGACACTGAGTTTGGAGGAAATGTTTCAGCCCGGTTCCCCGAGGCCCAGGCGGGGCAGGTCCTGTCTGCCCGCCGGGAGGGCCCCGCAGCACCCCATCATGGTGCCCCCGCTTCCCTGGTTAGGCTCCCACTGGGGAAGGAGTTGGTGCTCCTGGAGCAGGGGGTCACAGAGGGGTGGGCAGCTGTGGCAGCTGTTGTTGGCCATGGCCTTCTGCCCTGTGGCCTCGGAGCTCCTGCTCTGGGGAGCACTGAGGAACCTTTGGCCTGAGACACCCCCCCACGACAGGTGCCCCTTTGGCCCTCTGCACCCTCCCTCACTGGCTGGGCCTCTGCCAGAGCCCTGTGTGGGTCCCTGGAGCCTTGGAAGCCCTAAGCCCCTGCCCTATGCGGGTCTGATGCACGTTTTCCTGGTGAGGATTCAGGGTTTGGGTTTTCTTTCTTGTCTAATCGGGTCTTTGGTGGGGCTGCCACCTCTGAATTCGGAGCTGAGGCCTGTGGGGAATTTCTGTGGAATTTCTGCCGCACGCCCCCGGCCCCCATGTGGGCTCTCCCCCGGCCTCACCCCGACTGCGGCGCCGCCTCTGCCTGCTGGTCCTCTGCCCCGAGTGCCCGGCCCCCGCCCTTCCCCTCTGTGAGCTCAGGCTGTGCGTGTCACCGCCTCCCGGCGGGATTTCCCTGCTGCCCCTCCCCGGTCTGCACTTGGCTCTGTCGTGGGCCCACACCCTCTGCCACTGCCAGTCCCTTGCCGGCCCTTCCTTAGCTGGGCGCCCATGGGGTCCCCGGACCAGAGCGGGATTGGGTCATGGCCCAGCTGCCCTGGCCATGTGAGGAGATGAACCTGGTCCTGGACAGGGGACCTTAATTGGGGAGACATGTGGTCCAGACCCAGTGCCTGTCTGCCCCCGTGGCATTCCCCAGACCGGCCGCAGCTGCTGCGGTCCTTGTGGCCTCACACGGGGCCCTTGGCCCGTCACCACCCTCTCCTGTCACCACCCTGCTGTCCCTTCGGTGTCATCCTGGCTCATCCACCATCCACCTGTGCTTGGTGCAGTCTCCTCGGGACAAGCTCCGCCAGGCGGCCGCGCTTCTGTCGGCCGTGCCCCGGGCGACCCTCATGTCCACCAACCCACCACCCTTGGCATGGCCTCGCCTGGGGGGACCCCTGCCTCCTGTGGGCCACTCTGCTTGCCTGCTCTTGGGTTCTTTTAAAAAGTAGCGTCTTTCCTCATCGTAGAAAGCCGAGGACCTCCCCGGTAGCAGGCGGCAAGCCCCTGCCCCGAGTCTGTGCGGCTCCCGTGCTCCGGCTGCCCCCTCTGCCCGGGAGCCCAGCCTCTGGACTGTCCGGTGGCACGTGCTTTTCGAGCCAGCGGGAGCTGCGACCTGCTGTTGCCCCTGGCAGCAGGGAAGCGTGTCGCTCTGTGGGCCACCCCCTCAGTGGTGAGGCGGGTCCGGCGTGCGGGCATCCACGGTTTGTCGTTCTGCCGCGTTCCACGGACGGTGCTTTGCGGACGGTCGTGCACGTAGCCCAGGCGAGGGGTTGGGTCTCTAGATGGGGGACCTGAGGTCCAGGGTCGGCCTGTATCTGGTCCCCGTAAGCGTCGGGTTCCCGGGCTCCCCGTCCTGTGACTCTTCCGGCAGGCGCAGCTGCTGGGGGCGGCGCGTCCTCCTGGCTCTGGCACATGCGGGCACGGGGGCTCTCCTGGGGGCTCTGCTGGCTCTCACAGACTCGGGGGCCCTCCAGGCTCTAGCAGACGCTGGCCTCGTCGGTGGCAGGGGTTGGGGGGACAGCGGCGCTGAGCCCCCCCGTTTCCTGCAGGATGGTGGACGTGGGGGGACAGCGGTCTGAGCGGAGGAAGTGGATCCACTGCTTCGAGAATGTGACGTCCATCATGTTCCTCGTGGCCCTGAGTGAATACGACCAGGTGCTGGTGGAGTCGGACAATGAGGTGAGACCCCTGTCCCCGCCGTCCCCGCCATCCCCACCCTGCGGCCCAGGCGCCCGTCGTACTCACGCCTTCCCTCCCGCAGAACCGCATGGAGGAGAGTAAAGCCCTGTTTCGGACCATCATCACCTACCCCTGGTTCCAGAACTCCTCGGTCATCCTGTTCCTCAACAAGAAGGACCTGCTGGAGGACAAGATCCTGCACTCCCACCTGGTCGACTACTTCCCCGAGTTCGACGGTGAGCGGCGCGCCGCAGGGGCCGGGGTGGGGCCGGGCTCGCCGCCCCCTGTGCTCTGTGCTGCTGGTGGAGGGAGCGGGAGCCTCCAGTGCGTCCTGTTTGCTCTCTGGGCCTCGTGTCCTGGTGATTTGGGGATGCGGGCCCTGGCGGAGGCTGGTGGCATGGCCGGTGGGAGCCGGGGAGCCTCCGTGTTCTCCGCACCTCAGTGCCGCCCCCCACCCAGCCTTGGTGAGCAGAAGGTCTTTGTGTTCCCAGGGTGTAGTTTCGTGGACACAGCCGCAGGAGGGGTACACGGGGCCACTCTGCTCCCAGGTCTCTGCTTACCCGGAGCCTGAGTGGGGAGGAATGAGGCCCTGGGAATGAGGGGGTGACCCAGGACCCTCTTCCCCTCCGAGTTAGCCTGAGCTCTAACAGAAGCCAGAACAGCAGGGACCATCCCCAGCTCCCTCTCCAGCACCCTTGCTGTGTGGGCCTCGCCGCAGCTGCCTCCCCGCACGCAGGGCGGGGAAATGACACAGGGCTCTAGGGCAGTCCAGGCCTGGCCAGTCCAGAGCTTCAGGGACAGGCCCGTGGCCCGATGGCCATGTGCGCAAGGCCAGGGCGCAGGGGCACTTGGCTCTGTGTGTGCCCGTGTGTGGACACCTGTGCGTGTTTAGGTGTGGGTGTGGGGGGGCAGCAGTGGGGGGACAGGGGGCTGGGCAGGAAGCTCGCGGCAGTTTGGAGGTGGTAAGGGGTGTCTGTGGGCGGCTGCCGGCTGAGAGGCTGAGGGGCCCCGGGCGGAGGCTGGCCGGTGGTGGCAGAGCAGCTGCCTCGGGAGACAGCAGCTCCCCTCTGGGCCTGGCCATCAGCCCTGGGGCTCCCATGGGGGGGCAGGAGGCGATGTCCCTGCTTGGCCAGTGCCCTGTCCGTGCTTGGCGAGTGTCAGTCCACAGACCGTGGGTGTCAGTCCTCGCGCTGCAAGCATCTGTCCCTGTGTCTGTCCTTGTCCGGCGGGTGTCTCTGCACGCCCCCCAGCCAGTCTGCGCCCTGTGGGTGTCTGCGACTCCCCGGCGGGTACAGGCCGGCCTTGCTCACCCGCCCCTGCCTCCGCTTCCCCAGGGCCACAGCGGGACGCACAGGCCGCCCGGGAGTTCATCCTGAAGATGTTTGTGGACCTGAATCCCGACAGTGACAAGATCATTTACTCCCACTTCACCTGTGCCACCGACACGGAGAACATCCGCTTCGTGTTCGCGGCCGTCAAGGACACCATCCTGCAGCTCAACCTGAAGGAGTACAACCTGGTCTGAGCCGCCGTGGGGGCCGCCGGCTCCGCTCGCGGAAGAGTTGATTTTGTTTGCGTATTTTTAACAAAGGGTTTTTATTTCACAGTTATCAGGGGACCTACGTCTTTCTTTCTATACACCTCGTGCACCTTCTCACCTGTGTCAGCGGCGAGGCCGCCTTTTCCTGGCCTTGACTCGTGGCTCGCTTTTTTCTATTAAAAAAAAAAAAAGAAAAAAAGAAAAAGAAGGAAAAGAAAGAGACAAGACCAGCGGAGAAGAGACCCACGAGCGCCCTGCCCCCACTGCAGGCCGTGCCCCGGGCCGGCGCTCCTTCCCCCACCCCCCCCGCCCCCTGGCGCTCAGCGGGGACAGAGCCTCCCGCCAGCCCGCCCTCCCCTCGCTCCTGGCCCTCACCCCGAGGTCCCAGGGCTGTGACTTCTCTTTCTCTCGCTCCCTAAGTTATTGATGTCCTGGACTCCAAGAAGTGGGGGTGGGCGGCGCCCTCTGCTGCCCGCCCTGGGAAGTGCCTAACCTTTTTTTTTGGGTGAGGAAATGAAGGCAGTGTGTAGGCTCCGTGGTTAAGGAGACATCCTGGGGCCTGGGGGCCTCCCCTGGGGCCCCAAAGGCTGCTGTCCAGACACCGCCGAGGGGCCGTGGGCACCCCGCTGCGCCCAGGGAGCCGGACTGGGAGTCGGTTTCGATGTGTTCTGTTTTGAAACCAACTTGGAAGCAGTGGGGGCCGGGGGCTCTTTCAGAATATTCTCAGGTCAGTCCCCGAGCGGCAGAGAAGGGACTTGCCCACGGCGGTTCCCAGGCGCGGCCTCCGGCACAAGCCCTTGCTCCCACTTCTGCCCCCCGAGCCCCCCGCCCCCGGGAGGCGAGCACGCAGCACGACGCGCACTTTGCCCGGAGCCATGGAGGGCCGGTGGCTGCCGGTGCCACGGCCCCGCGTGGTTTCCAGGCCTGGCCACGGCCACGGCCACGCACTGAGCCAGAGCCACGGGCCGCCTTGCCTGGGCCCCCTCCTTCTGAGGGGCTCGGAGGGTGGGAACAAGCGGGCTGTGTTTGGGGGGGGCGGCGTTTTTATCCGACGCAGACTGAGCACTACAGTGTTTTTTGTGGGTTTTGTTTTGTTTTGATTTGCACAACGTAGCGGGAACGAGCTGCCAGTGATGCCTTGCCCCCCCCCCCATCTGGTCCGGGCCGCCCGCCCACAGGAGAAGCAGCTCGGACAGCAAGCCGGACACCAGGACACCAGGCCTGGCCTCGCTCCCTGCGCTCTCCTGACGCTGTCACAGGAAGGAGGGGGCTGGCGGTGACCGCGGGCAGTTTCAGCAGGGTGGGACGGCGACATTCCTAGTGATCAGCCCTCTCTGGGGACAGTCCTGCACGGGAAGGGGCGTGCCAAACTCCGCAGCGTGTGCCCTGGGTGCTGCTGGGGGGGCCTGCCCAGGGACTTCGGAGGCCTTGCAGGGTGGGCGTCTCGAGGTCTCAGCGCCTCTCAGGCCCAGATCACGAGGTGGATTGGGCCTCGAGGGCACAGGGTGTGACTGGGCCAAAGTATTCATTCTTCCCGGAGGGAGCAGTGTGCCAAGCACCCCAGAGCCAAAGCCTGGCTGGACCGCCACGCCACCCCCGCCTGGCGCTTCTGGAACCCCGAGGGCCCTGGGCTGGAGGACAGGGACACTGCTGTGTGCCATAGAGGGTCGGAGACCCACTCTGTGCCAGTGCCAGTGGGGCCTGGGTGGCCCGGGCCCCTCCCTCGCCCATTGTGTGGGATTTGTTTTTCTTGTTTTCCATCTGGGGAGCTCCATTCCCCCCCCCCACTGTGTCAGGTCCCCAGCAGAGGGGCCCTGGTCCCCCATCTCCCGCTCGCCCGAGAGACAGCCGGGTGCCAGCGCCCCCGAGCGACCGCCACTGGCCCCCTCTGGTTATACTTGTATATTATAGTCCTGATTTCAGACGGTTTCAACCTTAACCTATTTTAAAGAAGAATATTATATAAAAATACTGTTTTTAAACCTTTTGTCATTTGAAATGCATGTATTGTTGTGCGCGCTGGCGGACAGGCCCATTAGCTCAGTGCCAACCTCCCGGGGCCAAGGCTGCCATGTGGGGGCGGGGGGGGGGCGGGGCAGTAGGCTCTGCTCAGCGTGTCGGGGCCCTGACCCCTTAATCCAGAGAGAGCTGATGGAAATGGACTTTTCATATCTTTCTCCTGAAATGAATTCTGTTTTAAATTGGAATAAATTTTGTTCCTAAATGCTGTGGCCCCTCTGGCTTATTTCCCCTCACTGGCCATAGCAGGTGGGTGGTGAGCACTGCAGGGGCGCCCGAGCTCTGGAAGGTCTTGCCTGATCCCCGCGCAGCCGGCTGCTGTGTGAGCTCCCGGGCGCGGCGGCCACAGCGGCCCTGGGATGTGCCTCCTGCCCTGGGCTCTGGCTCGGGCTCCAGGCCCCCTGCTCTGAGGTTCTGTGACTTGGCCCCGACTTCAGGTTCATTCGTCTGGACGGCGGGGCTGGAGCATCTGGCCAGACGAGCCTCCTGACTGGGGGTCGGGGACAGAGGAGCCCGCGTCCTGGACATTCTGTATTTACTTCTGTAAACTGAGGAGGTTGGGTCCGTCTCGGCGGTCTTCTCTCGGGCCCTTTTCCTTCTCAAAAAATGGTGAGTATGCATGACACAGAATTCACCACCTCAGCCGTCTCTAAGTGCAGTGCCCAGCGGTGTGAAGCACTCCCACACCCACACCCTCCGTCTCCAGAACCTTCCATCTCCCCTCACGGAGACTCTGCCCCCACGAAGCCCAGACTCCCCACCCGTCTCTCAGTCCCGGCTCCCACCATCTCCTCTCTGTGCGAGTGGGACTCCTCCGGGGCCCTCCTGGGAGTGGGGTCCCGCGGGATGTGTCCTGTGTCCGGGTCCTCTCACTCAACAGTGTCCTCGGGTCCCTTCGTGTCGTGGCAGGTGCTTATCACCAGGGCTTAATCTATGAAGAAAAGTAGAGTAGGAGGGCAGGATGGGCAACAATAGTGACATGAGGACAGGGCATTCCAGGTAGAGGGCATAACCTGCAAAGGTCCTGGGGCAACATTGGGCTTACACAGCCAGGGGGCCTGTGTGTCTGGAGCAGAGTGAGCGAGGGGTAGAGAGGGAGGAGGGGAGGGCGGGTGGAGAGGGCAGGAGCAGGTCGTGCAGAGCCTAGGGGACCACAGCGGGAGGACTTGGGCCCCAGGAGGTGGGAGCCTTGGAGGGGTGTGGGCAGAGCAGGCGTGGGGGAACCTGACTCGGGAGCTCGTGGGCGCCCTCTGGTGGTCGCTGCGGGGAAGCCGGACCGGGGGCGAGGGCGGGAGCCGGGGATCCCGGGCGGAGAGTACCGCGCTGGTCCTGGAGGGCGCGGTGGGGGCTGACCCGGTGCAGGCAGAGGAGGGGGCAGGATCCGGGCAGTGGGCGGAGGGAAGGCGGAGGAGGCCCTGCCACGGCGTCCGCGCACCTGGACGTCATGCCCCCCGCGGCCGGCAGGCGCCGCTCGCCAGCCTCTGGCCTTCCCCGCCCACCTGCAGCCTGACCGCGTCTTTCCGGGCAGGGCCTCTCCTCCGCTCCAGCGGGGAAACCGAGGCACGGAGGGGCCAGTCGCCTGCCCTGACGGCGGGCCCGCGGTTGCGGGACTTGCGCACCAGCCGTGGCTGTCCCGCCCGGCGCAGGTAGGGGTCCAAGGGCCGCGCAGGGCCTTTGTCAAGCCATCAGGAGAATTTCAAGGCGGGAGGCCTGCAGAGCCGCGTTCCCACGCCCACGAAGCCTGCGCTGCCGGCCCGGGGACGGACACCTGGGCTGCTGGGAAGGATGCTTCCAGGAACACAGGTGTGCGAGAACCTGTCCTTGGGGTGTAAAACTAGCAGTGGGGCCCCTGGATGAAGACTTCTTGTCTCATCCAAAGAAATGATTCATCCACTAAAAACCTGGTATCCCAACGTTGCCTCTGGGCCACCGGGCGGGGCATGACCTCAGCTGTGGCCAAGGGCAGGGTCCAGGGACGGACAGCCATGGCCCTCAGGGGCCATACACCCAGCATCGGAGGAGTGAGAGGTACTTGGAAATGATGTAAATATCTCATTCCTCATTAAGCAGAAAAGACTCTTTTTTTTTTTTTAAGATTTTATTTATTTATTTGACACGGAATCAGAGATCACAAGCAGGCAGAGGCAGGCAGAGAGAGAAGGGGAAGCATGCTCCCTGCTGAGCAGAGAGCCGGATGCGGGGCTCGCTCCCAGGACCCTGAGATCATGTCCTGAGCTGAAGGCAGAGGCTTAACCCACTGAGCCACCCAGGCACCCCCAGAAAAGACATTTTTAAAAGATTATTTATTTGAGAGGGAGCACAAGGTGGGGGGAGGGGCAGAAGGAGAGGGAGAGAGAATCCCAAGCGGACTCCCTACTGAGTACAGAGTCCCATGTGGGCCTCCATTCCAGGACCCCGATATCATGACCTGAGCCGAAACCAAGAGTTGGCCACCCAACCGAGCCACCCACGTACCCCAAGCAGAAAGGACATTTTTAATACCAGAGAAGCAGCAAGGAGTATGTCGTCTATGAATAAAGGAGAGAGGGAGGGAGGAAGTACAGCCCACGAAAGCTCACCAGAGCCGGTGGGAGTGCAAATCGGTGCATGCACTTTGGCAAAAGATAGTATCTGGGAGGGGCGCCTGGGGGGCTCAGTTGGTTGAGCAGCTGCCTTTGGCTCGGGTCATGATCCCAGCGTTCTGGGATCGAGTCTCACATGGAGCTCCTTGCTCGGCAGGGAGCCTGCTTCTCCCTCTGCCTCTGCCTACCACTCTGCCTGCCTGTGCTTGCTCTCTATATATCTGACAAATAAATTTAAAAAAAATCTTAAAAAAAAAAAGATAGTATCTGGGAAATATCTCATAACCTAGCCCTGCCACACATAGATATTTACCCCCAGAAAGTCAGATGGAGGACGGTCATCAGATGGTGTGTGCCAAGTGCCCACTGCTGGTTACTCAGGGCAGCCCCGAGCTGGAATTTAACCAGGAGGAAGGGGAGGAGGAGGAGGAAAAGAAGAAGTAGTATAGAAAGAGGTGGCGGGGGAGGAGAAGAGGAGGAAGAGGAGGAGGGAGAGGAAGAGGGGAAGGAGGAGGGAGAGGGAGGGGGAGAGAAGAGGGAGAGGAGAGGGAAGGGAGGGTGGAGGAGGGACAACAGGCAGGGCAGGGAGGAGGGGGAGGGGGTGTGGGAGGAAGGAGAGGAGGGGAGCAGGAGGAGGGAGGAGAAGAGGAAGAACCTTGACCTACACAAAAATGAGCAGGTGGATCATAGATCCAAATGTCACATGTAGGGGCGCCTGGGTGGCTCAGTGGGTCAAGTGACTGCCTTCAGCCTTAGGTCATGATTCCCGGGTCCTGGGGTCATGTCCCGCACTGGGCTCCTGCACTGGGAACCTGCTTTTCCCTCTCTTCCCTGCTCATGCTCTCTCTCAAATAAATAAAATATTAAAAATTAATTAATTAATTTCATGTGTAAAATGGTAAAACTCCCAGAAGAAAAGAACAGAGACCATCTTAATGGCCTCGGGTTTGGGGAAGAGTTCTCAGAAAAAACACCAAAGGCATGACCCATAGAGTTTGAAAAATGGGTACATTGAGCAGCATCGAAATAGAAAATTTTGCTCCACTAAAGACACGGTTAAGGGGATGAAAAGCCCACCCGCAGACCGGAGGAAATATTTGCCGGCCGCATACCCAATTAAAGGACTCGTATCCAGACCATACGAAAACTCTCCAGACACAGTCACAAGACAACAACGCACAAAAGAAACAGTACATTACACGACTAGATCCTTCCCCGAGGAGGATACACGGATGGGGCCTACACACCGTTAGCTGGTCGGGTAGATGAACTCCCCAAGGAGACGCCATCGCGCATGTATTAGAAGCGCTAGAATGAAACGTGCGCGCCCCACCGCCTGTTGGAGAGGACGCCCAGCAACCAGGTGTGTCCTCCCTCCCAGCGGGCCGCGCGCAGTGGTGCGGCGGCTTTGGGAAGCCCTGAGCGGTGCGGTGCAGACCCTGGGCCCCCAAATCCCACCTCGAGGGATTTATCCTGGAGAAACAAGCACAGTGTTTGTCATAGCCGTCTTCATCACTCCGCACGGGAGACATTGCGCCGCCTTCTGAGCGTAAATCTCGCTGGGCGGTACCCCACGCCCCGCTTGCAGAAGCTGGGGGTCCTAGACTGTCGGAATCTCAAACGCTAAGGGAGAGAACCCAACCTGAAGAGCTACCTAAGTCTAGGCTTGCCTTGATACGACAGACTGAAAAATATTTTAAACATCACGGACACGAAGATCAGTGGTTTCGGGGGGCTGGGGCCCAGAGTCGGGGTCTGACGACCCAGGAGGGGGTACCCGGAGGGAGATTTTCAGGGGCTGGAACCACATGCTGGCCACTGTGCAGGTGATAATTTCCATGACTCTGACCTTAGTTGAAACTCCTAGGGCCGCACACCCAAGAAAGTGAATACAGTGCCACGTCGATTTTAGAAATGAAGGACAAGAGAAATCTTATTACCAAAAAGTCTTCCCTGGCCACAGAGCGCCATGGAAGTCGGAGCCGTGGGGGCCGTTGGGCAGAAGGAAGGAACATCTGGGCGCCCTCCTGGGGCTGACGACATCCTTCACCTTCTCCTGGGTGCTGATCACGTGGCTGTCGGTTTCACAACAGTTTATTAGATGGTACATTCATGTTTTATGCATTGCGAGTGTCTGTGTGTGTCTTAAAAACATGCACACAATTCCCGAATGAACCAGAACGTGACAGACACCCTGAACGGCGGCCTGCGTGGGGGAAAGGAAGCAGCTCGCCTGTGTTAAGGGACCGGAAGGGAGATTTCTTTTCAAGCTGGAGAGATTCACAGAGGCCGGGCCTCTGGCTGGCAGAGGGGCTGGGGGGGTTGGAGGAGTTGGGTCGTTTCCTCTGAAGCCCCTGGGAGCCACGGAGGATGGTAAGCCAAGGCCCCACAGCCTGGTCCTGTTGTGACATGTGGGGGACTGGTGTCCCTTTGGGAAACACTCAGTGGGGGGCCGGGGGGCCCTCCGTGTCCTGCGCCTGGCACTTGCCTCCATTCCTGCTCCCGTGTCCGTGACTCAGCCGGGCCTCCCAGTTTTGCCAAGCTGGTTCTTTCTGTTCCGCGGCCCTCCCAGCTCTGCCTGGCTCAGACTTATTTCTGCTTTTCTTCATCTGCCACAAGACTGGGAAATCAGTTGCTCAGGCCTCCTGCCTCAAGGAGCACCTCTCCTCACAGCCATCCGGTTGTGGGCGGGAGGGCGGGTGAGCAGGGCAGCGCCTAGCACCCCGGTGACCCATTGGGGGGCCCCTATCGAACTTCCCATCTGCCATTCGTTATGAATCAACAGCAAAGAAAACCGCATGATCTCGCCGGCCAGGCGTGGGGGAGGGCTGTCGGGAGGCTGCTGTGTGATCCTGGCACTTGGCTCACCCTCTCTGAGCCTTGCTACCGACATCTGAGAGGTGTCCAGAGGCTCCCGATATCTCCAGGGGCAGGGGTTTTCACGAACGTTCTAGAGCTTTCTAGAACTTCTCAAAGGGGATTCTGCACCCAAACAGGGCAAAGATTTCTGGGATTGGAGACAACCCAAGACCTCCCCTTTTGCTGTGAGTGTCTGTCCAGGAAGCAGCTGTGTACTCCCCCCTCCCCCTGTGTCACTGTCCTGCTTCTAGTGGCCCCGTGACCTTGTCGGGAGAATCCCTGAACTCTCCCCGCATGGCTTAGACTCCCAAGGTCTCCCGTGCCCAGGCTGCCTGTCCAGCTCCTTCTCCTAGTGCCTGAGGTCATTCGGTCAAGGTGACCCTCCTTGACCCCCTATTTAAAGCCCCCAGCCCCAGCACCCCAACATCCCCTACCCCGTGCCTGCTCTGCTTTATTTCTTGTTCAGAGCCTAGCACCATCCAACAGGCTAGAGTATGTCTGAGAACTGGGTTGGGTTTCGTCTGGGTCTCTATCTAGGATGTTAGGCGGGGAGGCCGCAGATTCTGTCCTTTTGTTCCCTGTCATGCATACAACGGTGCCTGGCACACAGTAGGTGCTCAATAAATGTCCACAGGAAGAAGGAAGGGCCCCTCCCCAGGGCTGCTTGGTCAGCGTCTAGAGCCTGGGGCCTCACCAGCTCCCAGGCCCGGTCGTCCTTCCGCCGCTGCCACGGGGGCTGCCCCAGCAGGTCACTTCCTGACCTCGCGCCCCAGTTCACTCATCCGCACACGGTGCCAGGAACAGGAACCCCCGCACATGGGAGCCCCCGGCCTTCACTGCTTTTCGAAAAAGATCGTTATTGGCGTTCTGATGATCTCTCCTAATTGGCTCGGAGGAGGGGAAGAAGGGGCGGGCCTGGGGCCAGCCTGGAGGCGGCGTCAGAGGCTCCGGGGAGGATGGAGTCCACGCCTTCTCCAGAATGAGGAAGGAGGACCCAGCGGGCGCTGCGGGAGGCAGACTGCGGTCCGGGCCTTTCCTCGCAGGCAGCCCGCCCTCCCTGGGGGCACCCACCCTCAACCAGTTTGGCAGGGCTGGGCAGGCAGGTCTGGAGATGGGCGGGGAGCCCTGAGCCTCCACACCTTCCCGGGCTCCTCCTCCTGTCCCCACCCGCCTGTGCCGGGCACTCAGGCCTTGCCGCTCCGGGCGCCCGGTGCCTGAGGCCGGGACGTCAGGGGTCCCTAGCGGTGCCCCCCAGAAGAGTGCGGTCCCCCCCCACCCCAGCAGGCCACTGCCAAGAGCCCTCTCCAGGGCCGGCCGGGCGGGGTGCCCTCCCCGGGGGGCCGGGGCCATGCGGCCTCGTGCCTGCTGAGACCCCCGCCATGGCCCGCTCGCTGACCTGGTGCTGCTGCCCGTGGTGCCTGACAGAGGAGGAGAAGGCGGCCGCCCGCATCGACCAGGAGATCAACAGGATCCTCCTGGAGCAGAAGAAACGGGACCGTGGGGAGCTGAAGCTGCTGCTGCTGGGTGAGCAGGGCGGGGACCGGGGCCGGGACCTGGACAGGGACGGGGACAGGGACACGGCGCGGACCAGACCCCCCACCAGGCCGGGAGAGTCTGGGTCCGATTCTGGGTGAGGAGACTGAGGCACAGAGACATCCGGGTCCGGCCACCTCGAGGGGCAGGTGCTGCAGTGGAGGTGGCCCCCGGGGCAGCAGGCCCAGCCCGCCCTACCGGCTCTGGCTACACTGGCCTCAGGGGGGGAGGGAGCCACGAGCTCCGCGCTGCAGCCCGCCCAGGCCCTCCCGACTGCGTCTACACAGGCCCTCCCACCCTCTCCCCGGCCACGGGCCTGCCCCACGGAGGGCTTGACTATCCACAGAGTGCCCTGGGCCCAGCATTGCCAGTGGGCTCTGACTGACGGACAGACTGATTGACTCATTCATTCGTTCATTCAAGAGACAGTGAGTGACTCTTGGGGCACAGCAGCCACGGGCAGGGGCAACGTCCCAGCTGCCGTGGACCTCATCTCTTGCCACAAGGGAGACCGATGTTAGCCCAGACAGCAACAAACAGATAAAATAATTTCCGGCAGCAAGAAGAGCGAGGAGGAGAAGAAAACAGGGTAGAAGGGAGGAGTGACGGGGCTGGTGGGTTGGAAGGGTGGCCCGGGAGAGCTCGAGGTCTTGTCCCGCTCACGTGTCCACTCCCCACAGGCCTAACCCTGCACGGGACATCTTGAGCTCTAGCAGGGATGGGAGGGGGGTGGGCTGGGCAGGTGTGGGGTGTCCCGGAGTCACGGGGGCTGGCCGGCCGGCCCTGGGCCAGGAGCCTGGCCATCTGTGCGGTGGCCTTGATCTTTCCTGGCTCAGTGGGCGGGGCCCCGAGGAGTAGAGACATGGGAACCCTGGGACCGCACCTGCATCAGGTCCCTTCTCAGTCTAGTCTTATACGTAGTTCTGGTAAAAGATAATTTAGTTTTCCAAGGCAGCTGGCCTGGGGATGGCCATCCAGGTCCAGCCTCCGGCCCCATGGCCTCTCGGACCCCAGCTCCTGCTTCTCCCTCCTGTAACCCTTGGGCGGCCACTTGGGTTCTTTGCTTTTTTTCATGGACTTGTTTTCCTTCAATGTTGGTAAAATCGCCCATGAGGCTGTCTGAGCCTGGAAGCTTTTAATTAGGAATTTAATTGCTTTAATAGCTGTCTCGGATTTCTTCAGCCCGGGTAGGCTGTTATAGTAATGGTAGGTATGGTACGTGATGTGTGATTGATTACCTTTTAATAATAATATGATTAGGGCTAGCTAGACTATTTCTTCTCGAGTGAGTTTTGGTTGTCGGTGCCTTTCAAAGCACTTGCCTGTTTCTTCGAAGCTGTCGAAGTTATGGGCGTTCAGTTGTCCACCAAACCCGTCATCATCCCTTCCAGGCCTCAAGCATTTGGGGCGGTGCCCTCTCTTTGGTGCCGTCTGTCTGCTTTTCCTCCGTCCATCAGGCTTGGGCTTATCAGCGTCGGGGAGCTTGTCTTGCACACCTGAAGTTCACATACCCGAACCTCAGGGCCTTTGCACATGCTGTTCTTCTAGGAGCAGAACACCTCTGCACGGCTGGTGCGCTCACTTCAGGCAGCATGGCCCATGTGTCGCCTCCTCGGGGAAGTCTTCCCGGACTCACCCGCTACAAAGGCCCCCCACCCTTCTCTTTCCTCCACTTGATCCATGTGATCTTTCTTCCCAGCACTCGCTCACTGACCCTCTCTTAGACTGGTTCACTGTTTTCCATGGTCTGTCTCACCAGGGACATAGCAAACAGCACGAAGGTGGGGACCGTGTCTCTCTCATTCATTCCCTGGTCCCCACCTTCTGGCCCAGGAGCACGGTGACCCCAACAGAGAGCGGACGCCCAGAGCAAACTTTATAAATGAATAAGGGAATGAGTGAGTCCTGTTTCAGGGCGATGTTCCCTGGACCTGTGCCAGAGCTGGGGAGGGGAGGTCCCCGGCCCCACATGGCTCAGACTGCTGCCCAGCCAGCCCCACTCAGGAAGCCCCTTCTGCTGGTGTCAGGTGGGGGGAGGGGAGGTTGTCGGCGTCCCATGCGCTGCTTGTGGCCCTGTGGTCTGTGATCCTGACCTCCCCACCATCCCCAGCCCTGAGGGTGGCCTCCACACCACCCTCCTTTCTTGAAAACAGGAATTGAATCCAAAAGTTATTTTTTCCTGGAGGTGGTTGATCTTTTTGAGGAAGCAGGCTGAGGGGCCAGGAGCCTGTCCCTGACAGGAAGCCATTGGCGTGTTGGGGAGTGGGGCATATCAGAGCGAAGCCATCAGAGGAGCTGGCTGTGTCTGCAGTGCCGGAGGTAGATAAGTTGGGGAAACTGAGGCTCAGAGAGGTGACGCGGAGAGCCCAAGGTCACACAGCCCGGATCAGAACCTAGAATTCTGGGTCCAAAGCCCATGCACTTGACCTCCCTGTGAACGTGCCCCCTGGAGAGAAAAGCCCCGATTCCTCAGTGACAGATGGGGAAACCGAGGCCCAGGGAGATGACAGGATTGGTCTGGGATCGGCAGCCAGCCTGAGCCTGAGCTGGACATGGACGCTGAGCCGCCGACCCTCCAGCCGCCCAGGCCTGGCTCCCCGAGCCCTCGAGGCCCTGTTTCCTGGAGCTGCCACCCCCTAGGGAAGGAGCCGCACGGGTGTCTCGTGATGCCCAGGGTTGGCACAGCTCTTCCCGGTGTCTGTGAGGTTCCACTTCCTCATCCATCCCCAGAAGGAAGCAGCCACTTCCCTTCTGGCCCGCCAGGTGGGCAGAGCTGTCCCTTCGAGCCCCCCTGCCCCACCGGGGGGCTTTCCCGAAGCCACCCGGGAGCCTGGGGCTGAGCAGTCCCAGCACCCTTCGTGGCTTCAGGACGGTCCTGGGCTGCAAAGAGGGGTTTCCACCCGCTGGAGTTTTCCGCCTGTGACCCATTCATGAGTCACAGGATCTGTGGTGCTGGTGGTGACCGGGATTTTTTTTTTCCTTTAACAAATCAGAGGAGAAGAGAGAAACATCAAGTAAGCTGTTGCTTTGTGAGGCCTGGGATTGCTCTCCGCACTCCCGGGGGAGACCGAGGCCCCCCAAGCCAGATGACATCACCTGATACTCGGATGACATCATCTGATACTCAGATGATGTCGTCTGATACTCGGATGACATCATCTGATACTCAGATGATGTCGTCTGATACTTGGGTGACGCCTCACCTGGCTGGCGGGCCGCATCCCATTTTGTTGGTTTAAGAGCTGTAAGGGCTTGAGTTTGCTGCTGGCTGTGTGGCCCTAGGAAAATCACCTCACCTCTCTGACCCTTGGGCGTCTTCTGCAGATGGTAAGCCAGTGAGGTCGTGAGAGGACTGACTGAGGACGGGCACAGGTGGCTTTGGCCCAGGGCCGGGCAGATGCCGAGCGTTGATCACGCTCGCCGTGATTATCGTGATGGGGAACTTCCCGGTGTCCCACTTAAAACCCAGGAGCTCTGGGCTCAGACGGAGTGAGGTTTGCATCCCAGCTCGGCCACTCATCTGCTGCATGGCCCACAGCAGGCCCATGAGCCCACCTGGGACTCAGTTTCCCCACACGAAGAGTGAGCCAAGAGCCGTCCTCCTGTCGAGGCTCTGGTGCGACGGCGCCTGCCGGGCTCAGGGCTGTGATACTCCCACGCTGCCCTGCAGGGACATTGGCTGAGCTGGACGCCTCCCTTCCTAGAACCCAAGACATCCCGTGATCTCAGACACGTGCGGCTCCGCACTGGGCAGTTTCAGCCCGTGGACCCGTGGCGTGGGCTGTTCAGGTGCTTGGGGGAAAACGGCTTATTTCGGAATAATTTTAGAGGTACAGAAAAATGGCAAAGGTAGTGCAGAGAGTTTCTGTTGACTCCTAAACGGCTTCTCCTCGCGCTCGCGTAGCGGAGAGGGCAGCACGCTTGTCACGGCCGAGAACGTCACTGGTTTTCCGATGGGGCCATTTTCCTGCTCCCCTGTCGCCTCCGGCACCTCACGCTGCGGGAGAGCTTCCCACCCCCTTCACTTTTCAATTTGAGACACTTTCAAACCTTGCGGAAAAGGGGCGCCCGATTCTTCTGCAAATGTTGGCCTTTTGCCGTATGGCCTCGGTCCTCCCTCTGTCTGTGCACACACTCTGCGTAACCAGATATGTGTGTATAGTCATCATTTAGATAATGCATTATTATGTCTACAAATTGTTTTATTATGTATTCGCGTATTTAATAATACATACTCATCTCTCCCCCGGAACTGCTTGCAAGTAAGTTGCAGGCCTGATGGCTTTTTACCCCTAAATACTTGAGGGGCTTGGGTCCCCCCGCCAAGCAGCGAAGACCAGGAGCAGGTGATGGTAGAAGCTGGCACCAGCCCAGCCCGCACACCTGACTCACAGCGCGGCTGCTCTCCCCTTTCCCTGCTGGTGTCCCTCAGGGCAAGAGAAAAGCTGGTCTTTCTCTTGGACCTCGAGTCCCGTGGACTTAACAGATACTAGTGTCTCCTGGCCTGCCCTTGTTGCCCTCAGATATGTGGGGGTACAGAGCTTCTGGGGGGCTGATGCGAGGCAACACCTCCCCCCCCCCACCTCCCTCTGCTCCCTCTGCCCTGTTTCCTCTTTCTGGGCTCCAACCAGATCACCTCTTCCTTTTCTGCTGCTTCCTGTTCCTCCTTCCAGTCTGCCATCCTGTCCCTGGAAGGACCCACCGCCAGTGTTCCCCAGGAGCTGGGCAGGGCAGGAAGGTGTTGGCGGGACCTCCTGGTACCACATGCCCTGCCTGGCTGTCACACTTACTGGACAAAAGAGGAAACAGAGGCACACCGGGAGGGAGGGTCCAGAGCTTGGAGAGCGGCGGGGTTGAGCCTTGGTCTCTGACTTTCCAGCCCAGGCTATTGGAGATCCTAGTGATATTGTCGCAAGCCCAGGGCTGGCTTCCTGGGTGTGGGACCAGGGTGGACCCACAGCGCCCTGGGCTCAGAAAGGCCTCATCTCACACTTGGCCTGTAAATCGTGTAGTTGGCCCTGCAAGGACCCCTGAATGTCCCCTTCTCTCCACCTGGGTCCAGCCTGCCCTTGCCTGCCACAGTCTATCCTTGCTACAGTAGCCGCTAGAGGATACCTGCGAGGACCTGGATCAGGTGTTCCACTCCCCACCACCCTCCAGGGCTCCCACTTCCCTGGGGTCAAAGTCCAAGTCCTCTCCTGGTCCCCAGGCCCTGCACCAACAGTCCCCTTCCCTCCCTGCCCTCCCCCTCTCCCTCTTTCTCCCTCCCCCATTCTGCCCCAGCCAAATGATCTCTTCTCTGTCCTCCAAAATACCAGGCCTGATTCTGCCCCAGGGCCTTTGCATGGGCTGTGCCCTCTGCATGTTGTGCCTTTCCTCCACATTTTGGCACAAGAGCAAGCTTCCCAGACTTCAGATCTCAATTCTACAAATTATCTCCCCTGAGAGGCCTTCTCTGACATTCAGCTAGAGTCAGCTAAACACTATTTATTCTATTCTATTTCCTTCATTAAAGTTTCTCCACCTGGAATTACAGCAAATAGTAATAATAGTGATTCTTACTATAGTCAAGGCTATGACTGCTGTTAACAGTGAACCCTAGCTGACGTAGCTCGTACTGTCTAGGCATCATGTAAGCCAGGGCTCCACGAATTTTTGTGTACAAGCAGACAGTAAATGTTCTCAGTCCCAGGGGCCGGATGGCCCATCTACCTGTATCGAGGACACAGCCATAGATCGTTAGTATGCACACGGGCACGACTGTGAGCCAATAAAACTTTATTTGTGGACACTGACCCACGAATTTCACATCCTTTCTGTATGTGACAAAATAGCCTTTTTCAAAAAAATTCCTTTCCATCATTTAAAAATTTAAAAACTACAACCGTAAAAAGCGTCCAAGGTTTCAAAGCCGGCCACACAGAAACAGACGGCCCGAAGGATAGTTTGCTGCCCCCTCCCCACACCCGGGAGCCCCTCACAGTGAACTCCTTTCCTGGGAGCTGGCGGGCAGGGTCTGTTGCAAACCCCATCTTACAGCGGGGAGAGCCCGAGGCCCGGAAGGTGAAGGCAATGGTCCCGGGTCTCAGAGCACGGCCCTGACCAAGCCAGGATTGGGGCCGTGAAGGCATGGGGGGGTGGGGCATGGCGGGAGCCCCAGGACTGAGCTGCCCATCTGCCTCCCCAGGGCCCGGCGAGAGCGGGAAGAGCACGTTCATCAAGCAGATGCGGATCATTCACGGGGCGGGCTACTCGGAGGACGACCGCAAGGGCTTCCGGCCCCTCGTCTACCAGAACATCTTCGTCTCCATGCGGGCCATGATCGAGGCCATGGACCGGCTGCAGATCCCTTTCAGCAGGCCTGAGAGCAGCGTGAGCATCCTGGGGCCTCCCCTCTTGGGTTTCAAGCTGGGGGGGGGGGCGCTCTGGACCTCAGAATGGGACCATGTCCCTGGAGACTCCCAAACCCAGGCTGTATCCACTAGGACCCCCAGGGCAGGAGTGCACCCTCAGACCCCAAAGTCCAGGACCGTGTCCCCTCAGACTCCTCAGGTCAGGACTGTGTCCCCTTGGACCCCCCAGGTCATGGCCATGTCCTCTCAGACTGCCAGAGGTCAGGGCCCTGTTCCCTCAGATGCCCCAGGTCAAGACCGTGTCCCCTCAGACCCCCCCAGGTCAGGACCTTATCCCCTCAGATGCCCCAGGTCATGACCATGTCCCCTCTGACCCCCCCAGGTCACGACCACATCCCCTCAGATCCCCAGGTCAGCACGTGGGGCATGGCCGAGTCCTTTGGGCCCCCAGATCATGTTAGGTTCACCCAGCGCTTTCCTGGGGGTCTTCCGTGCATCCCAGGCGACTTGGCAGCAGCTCCCCTCTCCTGCCTCCCCTGTGGACCTCCCAGCTCGGTCATCTCTCCCTGGACCCCGTGATGGCGAGGGCGGGAGTCCTGAACCAGCCCCTATTTCGCCAGGGGAATGTTTGACTGAGTCCTGCCCATCCTGCTGCGGGAGGGCCGCTGCGCACGCGCACGTCACATCCCTTTCTCATTAAATTTTATTCGGTAACGCCTCCCACAAGCTCTGCCCTTGTAACCGATCTCCAGGTGCAGCAGGCAGGGCTGGTGACAGCAGATCCCTGGGACATACTCACCTTGCCTGACTACAGCTCCGTGTCCCTTGGACGGAAGCTCCCAAATCCCCCCTCCGCGGCCCCATTCCGCTCTCTGCATCCATGGGGTTGCCTTTTCTAGACGCCTCGTGTGAGTGGGACCCTGCAGTGTTTGACCTTTTGTGACCAACTTATTTCCCTTACCGTGATGCCCCCATGTTCATTCGACCAGTTACCTATCGCAGAATCCCCTCCTTTTGTAAAGCCGTGTAATATTCCCACACGTGTGTGTGTGTGTGTGTGGGTGTGCGCGCACGCGCAAGTGCATGTGTGTGGGTGCGCGCACCATTTCCGTTATCCATTCACCTGCTGGTGGACACTTAGGTCATTTCTACACCTTGGCTGCTGGGAATGGTGCTACAGGAAACACGGGGGATGTTCATATCTTTCCAAGGTCCTGATTTCAATTCTTTTGGTTAAACACTCGGAAGTGGAATTGCGGGATCCCGGGGTAGTTCTATTTTAATTTTTCAGAGGAACCTCCGTGCTGTTTTCTGCAGCGGCTCCGCTAGTTTGCATTTCCCCCAATGGGGCACAAGGGCTCCAGCTTCTCCACATCCCAACCAGCACCTGTCCTTTGTTTGCTTTTTATAATAGCCATCCTGACAGGTGTGACATGACCTCACCTTTCTCGAACCAGAGAGCTTCTGATTTTGAATTTGAGCTGGTCCAAGGACCTTGGGAGACCAAATGGGGCTGGTAGCACCTTCCTCACAGGGCTGGTAAAAGAATGTGGTCTACTAAAAGTGATAAAAGCTCTCAAAATGTGCCTGGGATGTCATAGGGCACAGTAAGCACGAAACCCCTTCCAGCTGGGAGCCGTCGTCCCCATCTCCTAGATGCAAAACAGGAGGCTCAAGGAGGGGAGACACTTGGCTAAATTTTCACAGTCCACCAGTGGAAGACCAAAGATAAGCACCTGCTATCCACCCCACCACCTTTGGTTACACAGCTTTGCTTTACAGAATAACGTTTTTATTGATATATAACACACGTGCCAGAGAAGCCCGATGGCGAGCTCAGTGAATCATCACAAAGCAAAGACACGTGTGTAACCACTGCCTGGGACGAGAAGGAGAAGAGAGGCCCCTTCCCAACATTGCTACCCAATCGCCCTCCTAGGGCTAACCACTATCCCGTCTTCCATCAGCATCTCACCTATTTTTGAACTTCTCCTACATGGAATTAGATGGAAGGTTCTGTCATGTCTGGCTTCTGGCACTGCACAGCGCAGCGTGTCTGTAATTCTTCCATCGTTGGGGGTATACTTGTGTTTTTTTCCTTTCCACCATATACATTTTATGAAAACCTGTGCATTTCTGTTGGGTTTCTGCATAGAAGTCGATGTGGATCAGAAAGTGGATTAGATCAGGAGGAGACACCAAACTGTCTCCAAGCAGGAGTGTGTGAAGAGTTCTACTTGCCCCAAATCCTAGCCAACACCTGATGCTGTCCCCTCGTTGTAGCCATTCTGGTGCATTCTTGGTCACGTTTGATTGTGGTTCTGATTCGCATGTACCTGGTTAATAAGGAGGTTGCACACCTTTTCATATGTGTGTTGGACATTTGGATATTCCATTTTTGTGAAGCACCTGTTCAAAACTTTTGCCCATTTTTGTTTTTGTTTTTAGTTTTGCCGATTTTTTTCTTTCTTTCTTTCTTTTTTTTTTTAAGTATCAGTGTTTTTCTTATTGATTTGTAGCAGATTCTTTGTATGTTCTGGATATGAGCACTTTGTTATGTATTTTGCAAATATTTTCTGCCCATCCGTTCCTTGCATTTTCATGAATAGCTCTTAGTTTGAATGGAGCGTGTCAGTCTTCTGGTTAATAACGTGTTGTTGGTGGGGGAGGGAGGTTGGAACCAGATTGAGATGTTTTTCCACCCCAAGGTCATGATAAAACTCTCTATTGTTGTCTTTTAAAGGGAGCTTTGTTGTTTCATATCTAGATTTACATTCTACCTGGATTGATTTTTGAGTAGGGTGTGAGGCAGGGATTATGTTGCTTTTCTTTCACGCCCCCTTGCCCTGCTTCCCCCAGGACAGATATTCAATCATGCTAATGCCTCTTATGCTTTTCCCACTGTACCACAGTCTCATCTTTGTGATGAATCAGGTGTTCAAATGTGCCTGGACCCACTAATGCTCACTGTTCTGTTCCATTGGTCATTTTATCTACCTTTGAGTGACTATCACTTCATGTTAACAATTGTAGCTTCCTAATATCTAGGTTTCAAGCCTGCTAGTGTAAATCCTGCCACTTTGTTCTTCTTCAGAATTGTGTGGGCTACTCCAGGCCCTTTTGCATTTCTACATAAGGTTTAGAATTACCTTTTCAACTTTTACAAACACACACACACATGCACACACACACACCCCTTCACACCTTTCTGGGGTTTTAGTAGAATTGCATGGAATCTGTAGATTAATCTGGGAAGAACTGGAAGCTTAAAAAAATGCTGAGTCTTTCAATCCATGAACATGGCTCAGTCCTTCGATTATTTAGCTCTCTTAAATTTTTCATAGCCATGTTTTCTACATTTCAGTGCAGAGGGCTTTCACATCTGTTGTTAGATTTATTCCTCAGTATTTGATATCTTTCAGAACTACTGTAAATGAGATTTACATTTTAAAAAATGTCCACTGGTTCATGGTTAATATACAGCCACCTGTTTGATTTTTGTTTATTGATCTCAAATTCAGGGACCTTGCTAAGTTAACTTGTTCATTCTGACAGCTCATCTCTAGGCTGTTTGGGATTTTCTACCTATAGTCATGTTACCTGTGAATAACCATAGCATAACATATTCCTTCCCAAACCTGACACCTTTCCTTTCTTTTTCCTGTTGTATAGCACTGGCAAGGACCTCAATATGGTGTTAATTAGAGATCATGGAAATCTTAGTTACATTCCCAGTCTCAGAGGAACACACAGTTCACATGCACATGTCCAGATGCACAACCACACACATGCGGATTCACAGGCATCTACAAGCCCACATGCACACACACCCATGTGTGTGCGCACACCAGCACACACACCTGCACATGCACAGGCCAACACAGGAAGTCTGAGAGGCACGGATGCCCTCCTGCTGGAAAGAAAGGAGGAGAGATGGAGCAGAGGTTGCTGGGAGGAAGAAGGGGAAACACGAGGGGCTGCTGGGCAGGTGGCTCAGGCTGCGCATGCCTCTATCTCCCCGAGAGGCCTGGCCACAGGGCTTCATTGCACTACCTGGTCTGTGGTGGGAGCTCCCGTAGCGACTTGCCCCCTAGGTGTCCAAGAACCAGAACTGATGTCCCCACTGTGTTCTCTGCTGCCCCTCTGCCCTCTGTCTGGGGACACACAGGTGCAGAGTAGAGCAGAGGGGTGGAGCAGGACTGCAGTGTGGGGGTGCTGTGTGGGGGGGCTCCCTAGCAGAGAGAGGCAGTGACTTGCAGGGATGTGTGTGGTCCTGCCCTGCCAGGCTGCCCTGAAGTTCCCTGTGCTTCCCTCCCCAGCACTATGCCAGTGTGGTCATGAGCCAGGACCCCTACAAGGTGACCACTTTCGAGAAGCACTACGCCGTGGCCATACAGTGGCTGTGGAGGGACGCCGGCGTCCGGGCCTGCTATGAGCGCCGCCGAGAGTTCCACCTGCTTGATTCAGCTGTGTAGTGAGTGTGGGGGCCTGCAGGCGGCAGGTGTGGGGTGCAGGGCACAGCTGAGATGCAGCCAGGGATGAGCTCCTCCCGGGGATCCCTCTTGGGCAGTCAGGGTCCAGGCTGGTGGGCTCCGGCTGTGGGACATGCTGTGGGGTGGGCTGGCTATGGACGGTCTTCCTCCAGAGTGATGTTGTTCATGGGGGCACTGAACAGCCGTGTTATCATTCCTGGGGTGACACTGCTCATCATCACACAGTGACACTGTCCTGAGTACGATGTTGGGCATCTAGGGTGATTTGACAGTTGAGACTTTTCTTGGGACAGATTCACTGGGTGACAGCCCCCCGAAGGTGACTTCCCCTCCCCCCGCCAAGTGAGACTGTTCTTGAGTTCATACTGTCCTTGAGGTCATGCTGCTTTTCAGCTTGAGGGTAAAACTGCTTCTTCCTGATGCTCCCCCAGCTCAGGGTGATGCTCTGGGCCACCTGCGGAGCCAGAGATCCTGGCCCCTCCCTGAGCAGGGGCCTCACTGGGCTTTGGGTGGGTGGGGGGTCTGAGAAACAAACTAAGGCTGGAAGACTGGGCCTCAGGGCTCCTCCCTCCACAGCTACCTGTCCCACCTGGAGCGCATCACTGAGGAGGGCTACATCCCCACGGCCCAGGACGTGCTCCGAAGCCGCATGCCTACCACTGGCATCAATGAGTACTGCTTCTCCGTGCAGAAGACCAACCTGCGGTGAGCTCACTGCCCAGAGTTGGGAAAAGTTTCCTATGGGAGGGCAAAGGAACTGGGGCCCTGAAGGATGAGGAGGAGTTTCCCGGTCCCAGTACTCAAGGGGCTTCCAGGCTGAAAGGGGCAGAGCCATATCTAGCCACCCTCAGCCCCTTTACAGCCAGATCTGAGGCTGGAAGATCCCAGAGTGGGGCAACCAGAGCTCTCAGAGGGCAGGTTTTCCTAAGGATAGGACATTGGTATTAGGGCATTGGAGGATGAGTAGGAGTTCATTAGGATAAATCTTGAAGGGCTGCTGGCTAGGGGGAGCAGAGACTTTGTGGTCAGTGATATTCCAGAGGGATTGATTCAGGGCTGGGGAAGCTCAGAGGGTGATCCTCCTGGGGGGTGAGAATGGAGGTCAGGAGACTCAGGAGGGGGCAGGAACCATGATCCAAGCAGGAAGGGTTGGTAAGGGCAAGAGCAGTGGGCATGGGGATGGAAATGAAGGGATGGTGCAAAAATCATTTTGCATGTGGAAGGGGCAGGACTAGGTGAGTGTCTGTGTGTGTAGATGTGCCAAGGTGGGTGAATGGGGAATGAATGGATGGATGAGTGGATGCATGCGGGGGTGGGTGGGTGGGTGGATGGATGGGTGGGGATTAGATTGACGAATGGATGGGTGGGTGGACGGATGGTGGGTGGTTGGATGGGTGGGTGGGCAGACGGATGGGCAAATGGGTGGGTGGATGGGTGAGTATGTGGGTGGATGGATGGATGGATGAGTGTGTGGGTGACGGATAGATAGATGGGTGGGGATTAGATTGACGAATGGATGGGTGGGTGGATGGATGGTGGGTGGTTGGATGGGTGGGTGGGCAGACGGATGGACAAATGGGTGGGTGGATGGGTGAGTATGTGGGTGGATGGGTGGACAGGTGGAAGGATGGATGGATGGGTGCGTGGGTGATGGATGATAGATGGTGGGTGGTTGGATAGATGGACGGATGGGTGGGTGGGTGGGTGAGCATGTGGGTGGATGAATTGGTCAAAGTTTAGGAATGAAAATAGAGGTTGGGGAAGCTCACAGGAGAGCCTGCGCTGAGGAGCTAATTTTCAGGGGGGAAGCCTTGAGTGTGTTCTTAGGCCAAGGACAGAGCTAACCCGTGGAGTGAGGGCTCAGAGGAAGCTGAGACTCTGAGACGGGAGGCTGGCAATGGCATCCCTCCCACCTATCTCAATCCCCAGAGCCCTGCTCTCAGCCATTGCACCCCCCCCCATTCTGCTCTGAGGTTTCAGGGAGTCTGAAGAGGCCCAAGAGGGTTTGGTCTCAGGGATCACAAGCCACAGGCACCAGCCCGGTTTTCCATACAAAGGGGCAAGTCCCTTCTTGCTCTGGGGCTTCTGGCATTTCCTGTTGGCTGCCTGGGTAACAGTCCCATCCCCAGGAAAATGACGCAAGCCTTGTTATCAGTGACCCACATTTCTTAGAGGAGAGAAGAGGAAGACGGGAGGGCTCAGGCTTTTGTTGCAGTGTGTGAAGGTGGAGTCTGGGCCCTTGGCCCCACACAGACAGGATGGTGTTGGCTGTGACAGAACAATGCACACATCACAGATGGGGAAACTGAGTCCCGGACTGTTCTGCAGTTGGTTCCAGGTCACCTGCCAGAACCAGGGCAGACCCCAGATGTGTCTGACCTGCTGTCTTCTGCCACGGGGTGGAAATCAGGCATCCCAGCACAGAAGCTCAGCAAAGCCTCCCCTCCCATGCCTCAGTTTCTCCATGTGTAAAGGACCCGAGTAACACCTGACCCATGGGGCTGAAATGCACTCACGCAGCAGAGGCATTGTCCCAGAGCCTGGCCCTGATTCCTGCTGCTATTAAATATGGATCTTGACATGCCCCAGATGTGCCTGGGGTCCAGGGTGCCATGGCAGTGGGTCCTGATGAGGTCTGATGGGGGTGATCCTTGGCAGGATCGTGGACGTCGGGGGCCAGAAGTCGGAACGCAAGAAGTGGATCCACTGCTTCGAGAACGTGATCGCCCTCATCTACCTGGCCTCACTGAGCGAATACGACCAGTGTCTGGAGGAGAACAACCAGGAGGTGAGGGCCACCGCGGGTGCAGGGTGTGCCGCCTCTTGCTGGCCCCAGGATGTGGAGCTGAGCAAAACACCCCGCCGCCACTCTTCCGTGGTCAGAACGTTGAGTCTAAGACACAGATCCACAAACACCCCGGACTCTCTCTCTCTCTCTCTTTCTCATTCCGAGACATGGCCCCAGGAAGCACAATGCAGCTGGCCTGGGAAAATGGGTCATGCCCCAGGGAGAGCGTCCTGCTTTTATTCAGAAAGGCTGGGCATTGCTCCTTTGTGAACCCTTCTCCTAATTGGGACCTGGCTCGCTTCAGACCTTTGTGCTTTTAGGGGTTAAAGTTTCACATGCCCAGTCTGGGGAATCCAAGGGCCGATGCTAAAATTTTGACTGTCAGACCAAATGCAACAGAATGAATTTGAGGTCATTCTGCCACAGATCTTGGTCGAATGCAGCACACACCACCCCCACCCCTGCCATGTCCTGGTTTGCTGGGGCTGCCGTGACAAAGTGCGACAGCCTGAGGGCTGGAGCCACGGAGAGACATCTCCTCTCCCAGGGCTGGAGGCCACAAACCCCAGATGGGCATGTCAGCTGATTCTTCTGAGCCCATGAGGGAGACTCTGTCCCTAGCTCTCCCTATTTCTGGGGGTCGCTGGCTGTCCTTGGTGTCCCTTGGCCTGGAGACACGACGCCCCATCTCTGCCCCTGTGGTCACATGGTCTTAGCCCCATGTATCTCTGTCCAAATGCCACTCTTTATAAGGACCTCTGCCATGGGAGGTGACAATCTACTATGACTTGTTCTCAACTAATTACATCTTAGAAAACCCCTATTTCCAAATAAGGTCCTATTCTGAAGTTCTAGAGGGAAATGAACTTGGTGGGGGACACTAGTCAAGCCAGTAGAGGCACACAAAAGCATGGGCATAGCCCCTCTGACCCAGGCAGGAGCTGGGGAGCCCCAAGTTCTTGGACGTTAGGCTGACAGCCCCACCTCCACATGGGGGGGGGAGTGCTCCTATGCGGGCCAAGCTGGCCACTGGAGTAATGACTTACCTGTTCCCCCCAACCCAGAACCGAATGAAGGAGAGCCTGGCCCTGTTTGGCACCATACTGGAATTGCCCTGGTTCAAAAGCACATCTGTCATCCTCTTCCTCAACAAAACTGACATCCTCGAGGAGAAGATCCCCACCTCCCACCTGGCCACCTACTTCCCCAGTTTCCAGGGTGAGTGGTTCTAGAACTTTCTATACCCTTCATCTCCCGACAGCAGTTCCCAAGACAAATGCTGGTCCAGACTCTACCTCAGCTAGAGTCAGTGGAGTTTCATATGTGATGGGACAGACCTGAGGTCCAGACCCAAGTCCTGAGTCTCAGTGTCCCCCCTCTGCAGGATGGGGAGAAAGTGACAGCTGCCATCATTCTTGATGCGGTGCCTTCAAACAGGGGCCTCTAAGGAGGCAGGTGTCATAGATCTCTTGTGTGTGGGTCTGCCCTAGAGTTCATTGTCATAAGCCACACCTGGAAGGCGGCAACAACTATTTCCAGAATCAGCCTAGATCTTGGAGACTTTTTTTTTTTTTTAATCTTTCGTAGTCATCTTATCTCTATCTAAGATAGCAGATGCAAAAAGAAACCAGTGCCTGACCTTTGGACAAGTCCTTCCAAGGCACAGGGCTCAGTTTTCATTGATACGGCAACCGTCTTACACGCGGTACCCGTAGCAATGGTCGTGTTTTGGCGAGGGCGCGTGAATCAGGACTATAACCCTACCCTGGGCAGGAACAGGTTATATTCTAAAGAGAGCAGAAGTGGGGTTTGGGTGCATCCCAAGAAGGGGTGAATGGGCTCGGACTCTCCTTGGAGGGCCACTGTGAAGGGACTTGTGGAAGTACCCCAGCTGAGCGACAAACCGCCTGCTAAATTAGGGGCTTAACATAGCCCTTTGACTTCACTCACGTTTTTGTGCTGCAGGAACTTGGGAAGGGTTGAGGTGGGTGAGTTCATCCTTGATGCGTGTGGCATCAGCTGAGGTGGCCACGAGCAAGATACCCCTCCGACTTCCAACACTGTGTGTCTGATCCCTCTGTGCCCTCTTCCTCCCTGCCTCCCCCTCCTTCCCTCTCCTGCTCTCTTTCTCCCCCTTCTCTCCCTCTACATGCCTCCCTGGCCCCATCTGGTGTCTCCTAATCCAGGTCCTTTCATGAACCTTGGGCTTCCTCACAGCATGACTGTTTTGGAGTGACCAGACTCCAGCCCCAGGGGGTTGGCAGGGGGGAGTCTCAGAAGTCCCAGATGGTAAGAGATGCCTCACTCTATTGGTCAACCAAGTCACTGGGGCCAGATCATACTCAAAAGGAGCCAAGGAGACTCCCTTCTCGAGGGCCAGATGGCACCCACGTACAGGGAGGGGAGTGGTGGCCGCCATCCTGGAGACAAGCTGGCTTCATTTTCTGGGGCCAAAAACCAGGTGGCAGGAAACCACCGAAGTGTATCCCCCTCAGGTAATGAGGCCGGAAGTGTGAAATCAAGACGTCAGCAGGACTGGTTCCTTCTGGAGGCTCTGAGGGGACATCTGAGCTAGGCATCTCCCCTAGTTTCTGGTGTTGCCTGCAATCCTTGGGGTTCCTTGACTTATAGACACTATAGACACAGCATTCCGATTGGCCTCAGCTGTCACACGGCCCTGTGTGTGTGTATGTATGTGTGTGTTTCCTCTTCTTATATGGACTCCAGTCATGGGCTACCAGGCCCACTCCAATCCAGTATGACGCCATTGCAGGCTAACTTAATGACATCTGAAGACCGTATTTCCAAATAAGGTCATGCTCTGAGGTTCTGGGTAGACAGGGATTTGGGGGAACGCTAGTCACCCCAGTACACAAGCAACCATGGCAGATGCCACTATAAGCTTGGTGACATCACCATGGGTGTGACCCTTGGCTTTCTCAGGTCTCAGAGCCCACGGGAGCCCCTCTCAGCCAATCAGACCCAGAAGATTTGGGGGCCTGGGAGATATATGTCAGCTTATTCCAGCATGGCGGACATGGCCAGGAGAGTTTGGGGATGGGGAGAAAGAGGAGAGTTTTGAAGGATTATTTCTTTCACATCAAAGGAAACCTTCATGACTCACCTTTTTCTCCCAGCCATAGGCTAGAGAACTCTTTGCCAACTTCTGGCGCTCAGTCCTTCCCTCTTCTGTACTAAATAACATCTGTAATTATAACAACAGCTCACGCATCAAACCCCATTGGAAGCACCTAGTGCAGCAGCATTCCTTCTTCTCACCACGTAGAGGTGGGGAAACCGAGGCACAAGGAGGTGCAAACACTTGCCAAAAGCCACACAGCCAGGGAGTGGCAGAGGCAGGTTTCGAACCCAGGCAGTCTGGATCAGGAGCCAGCAGACTTACCCCCTGGGGATCCTAACTTTCTGGAAGAATGCCAACAACTTTCTCATTATTGAGTACAGAGCCCTCTACATGACTGCGTTGAATCCTCACAACTCTGGGCGGCTGGGGACGGTTGGGATCCCCATTTTACAAGTGAGGGAACTGAGGCTCACAGCAGTTGCGGGGACGACCGAATAAGGCAACCCAACTAGGAAGTAGCAGAGCCAGGCCGTGGGCTCTGGCTTGAGACAGAGACGCAGACACAGACACAGAAAGGCTGAGCATGTCAGCGGCCTCCCCAGGGTGGCTATCCCTCCCCTTCTCCTGGCCTCGGTTTACCCACCTGCCCCTCTCAGAGAGACCTTTGTCCGCAGCTCCAGGTTCCCAGCCCCTCAGTTGCAAACCCAGGCACGTGAGCTGCTTTCTTTAAGACGGTTCTGCCTAAAGTCCCAGAGCCCAGGCTTATTGGTTCATCCCAGGTCATGTGTCACACCTGAATCCATTCTTGAGGCTCCCATTGGCTGGACCTGATGGTCATGTGACCCTGTAGAAAGACCAAAGATGGCGCCCGCCTGCGCCGTGCTGCGTGTCCTTGCAGGCCCTGCCGCCCTGATGTGGTCCACGTCCGCGGCCCAGGAGGGAGAGTCCTGCCCGCCCTGCGGACCGCGAGCCCTGACTGGCCACCCCTCTCCCCGCAGGCCCGAAGCAGGACGCGGAGGCAGCCAAGAGGTTCATCCTGGACATGTACACTGGCATGTACGCGGGCTGCGTGGACGGCGCCGACGGGAGCAGGAGGGGGCCGCGCTCCCGGCGCCTCTTCAGCCACTACACGTGCGCCACGGACACGCAGAACATCCGCAAGGTCTTCAAGGACGTGCGGGACTCGGTCCTGGCCCGCTACCTGGACGAGATCAACCTGCTGTGACCCAGGCGCCGCTGCCCCCGGGCTCGCCCCGCGCGTGGCGGGCGCGACCTGCAGGCGGCCCGGGGCTCGCGGAGCCCGGATGTCCCCGTCGCGCAGCCCCAGGTGCGGGTGGCGAGTGGGTCGCGGGCCGAAGGCCGGTCGCCGCCTGCTTCTTTCCCGGCCCTCCACAGGCCCTCCCTTGCCTCCCTTTACCTCCCCGGAGAGGGAGCACACGGGCCGCTTGGGACGGCAGGGTGGAGGCAGAGTGAGGGGGCCCTGCCCTGGGTAGGGTCTCCCCGGGGCGGAGGCCGGGGACCCCACGGAGGCGACGCGCCAGCCCGGTGATGGGGGCGGGGAGGGGGGCGGCTTCGGTCCCAGGGACGGACTCTGGCGCCCCCTGGCGGACGGGAGGCGGCGCCTGCCAGCCTGAGTCCGGAGAGCGCGGGGACTTCCCTGTCCCGGCGGGAAGAGCGACCCCGAAAACGCTGTCCCTTCCAGAGTCTGTGCCTCCAAGCGTGTCTCGCCCTGTTTACAGACCAGGGAGGCCTAGGCCCACGCGCTCCCCCCACTTCTCAGGCTGGGGGCCCGGCGCTGAGTCTCACGACCTTTCTATATTTATTCCCCCCCCCACCACTGCAGGGCCCCTGCGAGACATTAAAAACAGGACAGGCTGGACACCTGTGATTTCTTGGGGGAGTCCTGGGTCTCACTGCGCCGCCCCTTCTCAGGGCGCCTGTCCCAGGTGGGGTAGCCACGTGGAGAAGGCGGGGACAAGTTGCCAGGGTCCATTCACCCGTGCAGGGCACGTCCTTGGTGCGGGACCCATGCGCTTGGAGCGTGGAGGTGGCGTCGCATCTCTCCCCGGCCTGGGGCGGTAGGGCGGGTGCGATGGGGGCTGGCAGTCGAGCCCAGCTGTGTTGCTGCTCACCCCAAATTCCAGGAGCCACCATCCACCTCTGATGAAGGTGGAGATGCGGACGGAGATGGTCCCACTTACCGCAGACCACGGTGCCCCACAGTCCTCAGGGCCATGGCACAAGCCAGCCCACCTCTGTTGTCAGACGGGGAAACCCACACAGAGAGATGCAGTCGTTTGGCTGAGGCTCCCGCCTGTGGTTTGGCGACGCCAAGATACTGATTCTTTCCACGCTTTTTTTTTTTTTTAACTTTCACTTATTTATTTTTTTAAAAGACCAATTGGGTATTTATTTGACAGACAGAGATCACAAATAGGCAGAGAGGCAGGCGGGGGTGGGGGGGGAAGCAGGCTCCCTGCTGAGCAGAGAGCCTGACTCGGGGCTTGATGTGGGGCTCAATCCCAGGACCCTGAGACCATGACTCAGTGGCTTAACCCACTGAGCCACCCAGGCACCTCTTTATTTACTTTTAAAAAGATACACTATTTTTCAGAATAGTCCTATTTACAGAAAAAACGTGAAACTAGAACAGAGTCACCCCGTGAAATGACGCATTTCCCTATTACAAACATCCGACCTTCACGCGCACCTTTTCTTGATCATCCACGACCCGACATTGACGCGCCATGAACTGAAGTCCCCCCGATATTCAGATTTCCTCAGTTTCCCCCTCGTGTCCTTTTCCTGTCCCAGGACCCCTGCCAGGACACCACGCAACCTGAGGCCATCACGCCTCCTGAGGCACCTCTGGGCTGTGACAGTTTCTCAGACTTGCCTCATTTGTGAGTTTTAGAGAAATTCCTGGCTTTTTCCCAGAGATTCATGAATCGGGGAGCATCCAGTCTAGCGGGTAGACCAAAGCTCCCGATTTCCTCTGTTTTTGCTGATCCTGGGCATTCTGAAGCACGCTGGTCTGGGATTGCATTTGTTCCCCCAGCTTCTAGAACAAAGTAAACTAGGTGACTTACACAGCAGACATTTACGCTGTCAGCTCTGGAGAGCAGAAGTCAAAAGTGTGGCTGGGAGGGCCCCTCCCTGCTCCCGGGGAGCTCCAGGCACCCCTCGGCTTGTGGACTTGTCCCTCCATCACAGCCTCCATCTTCACACGGACCCTTCTCTTGTGTGCGTCTGTATCTGTGTCCACATTCTCATCCCTTATAGGGTCACCAGTCATACTGAATGGGCGCCCACCCCAATGACCTCATCTTAACTTGATGACATCTGCAAAGACCCTGTTTTCACAGAAGATCACATCCCCACATCCCAGGGGTTAGGACTTGACCATATCTCCTGGACAGTCCCTTGGTGAAGGTTTGCCTGGCATTTTCCTCACAATTGGGCTCAGGTTACGGGTTTTAGGACCACAGAAGCAGAAGGCCATTTCTGCCGCATCGTCAGCCTGCCACCTCTGCGGACCTCGTCACCTGGCCGAGGAATCACCCAACTCTTTTGAAAACCTTTTTTTTTTAAATCATGGAAAGTATCAAACCTACAAAAGCAGGGAGGAGAGTCAGTGCTGCACGTGGACGTTTGTGGGCTCAACACATGTTGGTAGAAAAGACCAATGAAATCCAGACTGGGCTCATTACGTATTCATGATTGCTGTATTAAGAAATTAAAAACATTTGCACAGACCCCTAAAGGGGAAGTAGGCCCCAAAGCCAGGACGGAGACCCAGCCCTCCTAGGCCAGTACTGACCCCTCCCTGGGTCCACGATGACAGGGTCCCTCGTCACTGATGGGCACAAGTCACAGACGTTTGTTCACAAACCAAGCCCGCACGTGGCATTAGCTGCTGTAACTCTCTTCCTCAGGAAGCAGCCCCCAACCTTTTCTTCTTGGTCGTTTATCTGTTGAAGAACCCAGGTCATTTGTCCCGTAGAACTTCCCAGCCTCCGGACAGGGCAAGGGGCATCCGCGGTGTCGACAGATGTGTTCCTCGTTCCCCATAACCCCTGCGAACTCACCTGTCTGGAAATGGGATTCCCAGGGGGGCCTGTGAGCCTCCACACTGAACCTCTGCTTGGTTCTCTCCGCGCTGGTCCCTGCATCTCTGCGCCTCTCCAGGAGACACACAATGGAACATCCAGCTCATTCTCTCTGTCTTCTGTGTTTAAATTGATCCCTGGGTTTAAGGGGCATCAGTCTGATTCATCGATCACGAATTTGCCCACGAGCCTTTCTCCCGATGGTCTTAGCAGCCATTGGGGAATGTTCCTCAGAAACATCATTTGGGACCACAAAAATGGTGATATCCTAATGCTTTCATTTTCTCTGCATCTTTTGCCTGGAACAATTCTATTAAAAAAAAAAAACACTTGATTGAAAGCAGGGTCTTGAAGAGCTACTTGCACACCCACGTTGCACACCAAGAGGTTGGAGCAACTCGAGTGTCTACCTGGGGAGGAAGGATAAACACTGCGCGGTCCATCCCCACGCGGGAACACGATCCAGCCTCAGGAAGGAAGGGACCCTGACTCCTGCCATGATGCGGAGATACTCCAAGGACACGGGGCTCAGCGAGAGCAGCCAGACCCAGAAGGACCCGTCCCGCAGGACCCCACTCCCAGGAGGGCCCCAGAGGAGTCCCGTCCACACAGACAGAGAGGAGAGCGTGGGAGCTGGGGCTGGGGCAGGGGTGGGGAGTCCGTGCTTCATGGGGACAGAGTTTCCGTGTGGGGGGATGGAATGTTCTGGAGACGGAGGGTGGGAGTGTGAGAGTGCTTCACGCCGCAGAGCCGTGCGCTCAGAGACGGTTACGAAGGTGACTGTCATGCTCTATGACAGCGTTACTCTTGTGCCCTCATGGCTCTGCCTCCTGCCAGGGAGCCCCCAGCAGGTGGGCCCCTCAGTCCTTCTGACATGCCCCCGCCAGACTTAAGAGTTCATGTTCTAGCCCAGAGGCATGCTTTGGGCTCACCCTGCCCTGGCCCCGGACCCCGCCATTTCTCCAAGGAGCCCTGCTTCTTTTGAATGGGAGGCGATATTTAGGGACCACAATCTGATCACAAAGCTAGGAAGGAAGTTGCAAAATGATTACAATGAACTTCCGTATGCCCCTCATCTAGGTCGCGGACGGACAAACCCCCTGCGCCAAGCCTGTTTTTTGCAAATACAGTGTTATGGGCACAGCGCCAATTTGTTTACATACTGTCCCCTGCAGCTTCCGCTATGACAGCAGAGTTGAGTAATTGTGACAGAGACAGTCTGGCCCGCAAAGTGCAAAATATTTACTATTTATCCCTTTGCGGAAAGAAAATCTAGATCCCAGAGCTGGATCCACCGGGGTAAACCTTTTGCTTTGTCTCTGCCTATAAGCATGATCTAAAAGCACATAATATATTCTATAGAAAACCTTCTCCTCCTTGTTCTCTATTTTTCTAAGTAATTTGAGAGTGTGTTGGAGACATCACCAACTTTCACTCGAAAACACCGCGCATTTCCACGAACAAACACCTTCTGTTATGTAAGCAAAGGACGATGGTCAAGTTCAGGCAATCTCGCGTGTATATATAAGATACAGCCCAAGTGAAAATCCCATCAGTCGTCCTGACACCGTGTTTCCCGGCACCTTTCCCCCCCACGCTCGAGTCCCTACTAGGTTCACTCCTGCACTTAACTCCAGGCCCCGTAGCAGCTGGGGGGTTGGGGGCGAGAGGGTCTCCTTCCATCCCAGACTTGATATGCAGCCATGCTCCTTTGTCTTTCTTGACTTTTCTTGACCTTGACCTTTGGAAGGGTGCAGGCCACTTATTCTGCGGGATGTGCCTCAGGGTGGGTCTGGGGGCTGATTTCCTCGGTCAGATGGGGGATACATACTTCCAGTGGGAACATCCCAGCAGCAACCCCGCCCCCCCCCCCCAGGATGCCCATTTATCACACTCCTAGTGATGTAAACACCATCTTCACTGGGCTTCCCCAAAAAGAGTTTCCTCTTTGTAACTCAAAAGTGATCTGTAGGGGGCGCCTGAGTGGTTCAGTGGGTTAAGGGACTGACTCTTGATCTCAGGGTCGTGGGTTCAAGCCCTGTGTTGGGTTCCACATTGGGCACAAAACCTACTTAAAAAAAATTTTAAATACTGGGGCACCTGGGTGGCTCAGTCGTTAAGCATCTGCCTTCAGCTCTGGTCATGATCTCAGGGTCCTGGTTTCGAGCCCCGCATTGGGCTCCCTGCTCGGCGGGAAACCTGCTTCTCCCTCTCCCACTTCCCCTGCTTGTGTTCCCTCTCTCGCTGTGTCTCTCTCTGTCAAATAAATAAATAAAATCTTTTTTAAAAATTAAAAA